ACACACACACACACACACACACACACACACACACACACACACACACACACACAAGTGTTGTAATTCATGTTTAACTGTTCAGTATGCTGCATCACTGCCCCCTTCAGGACAAACTGAGCAACAACACTTTCCAGAAAGAAAAAAAATTGTGTAGGTCCTCTGGACGGGTTCTTCTCTAATAAAACGTTTCGTCTCTCCTCCAAGAGACTTCTTCAGTCTGAGAGTTTCAGGCAAAATTCGAAGTCTCTTGGAGGAGAGACGAAACGTTTTATTAGAGAAGAACCCGTCCAGAGGACCTACACAATTTTTTTCTTTTTGATTTTTTACCTGGATTACTGAGATGCATCAGGACAACACTTTCCAGACACGCACACACACACTGACACATGCATCAATCCACAGCTGTAGCTGCTACATGAAACCAAAATTTCTACATTTTATAGTCAACATTAAAATAAAGAACAATCCAGACAATAATGTTGTATAAATGAATGTTTTTTGTCATCACTGTTGTATTTGAAGCACTCCAGTAAATAAAGTGATTTCTTTCTTTTAGTTAGAGCTGGGAATCAAACAAAAATACTTGTTATAAACAAGTACATTTGTTTATTTTTAGGGTTAATGCCATTTTAAAAGTCACACAGATTTTTATTATCAGAATCAGAACCCTCTGTTTTCCAGAGAGGTTCTGACCCATTTTGCCAGTGAAAAGAGAAAAGCTGAAGGTTTCTCCTTCAGTCTGGTTGAACTCTAAATGATGGATGATAAAATGAAGGTGGATTTTATCGTCTCAGGTGGATGAAGATAAAAGCAGATTCAGATAATTAACCACAGTTTCATCTTTTCTCTCTAATTCGGGCCGTTAACCCTTCGCCTGCTGACCAGCCGAAGCCTCGTTAACGGCTCCTCATCTTCTTAACGTGCTGTTCGAGTAAAAAATTGCCCTCGGACTTGCTTCATCTCTGCTCAAACTGAGGTTTAAAGGATGTGGATTTGATTATTCCAGTCTGACCTGAATCAGCCTGCCTTACCTGCTTTTTCACCTGTAATCAAACAAACATCCAGGACTGAATGTAAAGCACGGTGGTGGCTGCATCATGCTGTGCTCTGGATGATGTGGACCCGGAAAGGACAACATTTAGTTTTCAGAGCCTCAGTCAAAGAGACACACTRAATTGGAAACAATATTTTTCCATAAACAGCATGCTAACTGCTGACTTTAATTTGAAAGATATTCCTCAAGTTTTCTCACTTTCTGCTGGGACAAGTTGTAGCCTAACACCATCACCTTCTGGAGAGGTTGGCAGAAATGCTTTTTGGAAATGAAAGGAGGCATCTCAAAAGCTTAGATGTCTTCATTTTCAGCAGCTGATGTCTCAAAATCTTCTCAGCATCTTCAACAGCAGTGAAAAATAATCCAATGTCCTCGGCTTATTCAAGATCATCCAATCACGTCGGGGTCACCAAATTTKTAAGAAAATTGCGATCAGTTAACCGGAAGTCTGAATAAAATAGAGCAGAAAACCAGCTGATCTCTTCTTGAAGGCTTCACTCTCAATCTGTCTCCAATCAGGCCCACAACAGCAGGCCTAAGAGAAAAAAGGCCTTGGATCTTATCAAACCCTCTCAAGAGCTCCCAGGCTGATCTAAGGGAGAAACTACGGCTGCTCAATTATTGCAAAAATTATAATCACAATTTTTTTATTGAAATTGAGATCTAGATTTTTTAACAAAATTATTCATTCACTTTGATAACATGAATTTACTGATCATAAACAATGGCTGTTAAACAATAATAATGCATTTTTTTTATAAAGCGTCTTTCAGGACACCCAAGGACAATGTTTCCTTAAGGATTTCAAATATTTTTGAAAAAATTAGACAAAGTTTCACTTTGTCTGTGGGAGAAGCCTGCACCATACAGCTGGCAGTGGCACTGGATTCACAACACAAAACAGCGTAAATAGGAYCCTATAAAATCTGATTTATTTTTTCCAAAATTTCATTTTTTCCATTTTTATTTTTCTAAATTCCACTTCTTCCATTCCCCTAAATTCCACTTTTTCATTGTAACCTTACTTACACAACTGCATAATTAAAAAGTGACTGAACAATAATTAAAGAAATAAATTGCCACAGAAAAAAAAGTCTGTTATTTCACTTTCACT